TGGGGGCGGGGGCGGGGGGCTGCGTTGTGTGGCTTGCGGGATCTTAGTTCCCCAACCAGGGAACCAACCTGTGCCCCCTGCAGTGGAGGCGGGAAGCCCAAACCACTGGACTGCCAGGGAGGCCCCAAAGCTTCTGTTATTGCCCTGGAGCAGCTGCAGAAACCATCTGTAACATCTGTGCTTTTATTTCAGGCAGCTGGTTTCTGGAGCTGAAACATTGAATCTTGTTGCTGAAATCCTTAAATCTATAGACAGAATTTCTGAAATTAAAGATCAGGGGGAGGAGTCTTGAGACCCACGGAGGTGCTTCCAGCTCACAGCTCTTTTTACGGCCTGAAACCATTACCCCATGGGTTCCAACATGCCGCCATGTCTCTGAATGTGCAGTCTTCACACACATTAAAGATACCTATCACGAGATACTAATTTCACGGCCTGGAACAGTATCATGAGCCGCACACAGGGAGGAGCAGCCCCTGGATGCGAGAGCCGCACCTGTGCTCCGTGTAGCCCTCCTTGGTGAGCTACGGATGCTGATCATCTGCTGGAAGACATTTCTATAAAAGCCGGTGCTTTTTTTGAGTTACTAAACGAAAACAGCAATTCTGTGATGAGCGTTTTCCATTGTCATTCTAGAATATGAACTGTAAGATAAGTTCAGTTGATCGTCTTTGCTTTCGTAAGTAGAGAAAAACAGTAAATGGGTCACAACGTAAGTGCTCGCCTCAGACAGTGACCTGTGCCTTACTGGTGGTGCTCTGTACCCCCTCTGGCTCACAGCCCACTCCTTCAGCTTCAGGGGTGGGGGTGGGGGCTCCTGTGGTTGGTGACCTGAGCGTGGATGCCCCACGAGGTGGTTGCCATTATCTTCCCGCAGGGACCGAGGTCAGCACAGGCATTCCACGGTGGGGCACCACCTAAGTGCACTGGAAAACTGGTTTTGGCTGGAGGGTTTTGCTACGCATTCCAAGCGGCATCTTGTAGGATGACATGTAGGATTCAGGGACTTGGAGCCTAGGCAGAGCCCTCCCAGGTCAGGGCGACGTTTCCCCGGGTGCCTTTCCAATCCCTTCCTGTTGGAGGGGAGGCGTAACATGCACTAGATGCCTTTTTGGCTGTTTTCCTATGGATGTTATTTTTTTAAATAAACGTCCTTTTTGCATCCTGTTCAAATTGACAGTTTTCTTATTTAATAAATTCTAAAATTCATATGCAGTGTCCTTTTTTTTCTAATTCAGCCCGTTCTTTATGCTTGAGAATCACGCTGCTGACTGTGGCCTAATGGGTGGTTTGTGCTGATAAATGAAAAAGCCCAGGGGGTTAGGGTGGACCCACACCTGCTGCTAGGCTCGGCTGCAGGGACAGTGCGCTGCGGACACGCGCGGCACAGCTGCGTGTCTTGAGTGGGACAGGTTGGAGTCTAGCATGGGAGCATTTGAGGTCCCGTGGTTGGACTTACAAGACGTTCAAACTGCTAGGCCCTGTGATCTCAGCTACAGGTAAGAGCCTCCCAGGAGTCCCCGCTGACCCCACCCTTCATCTCAACCCCACCCACTACCTTGTGCTCCTGCCCATTGGTGAAAAGTGGGTTCCCAGATCAGTTTTCAGAGCAGACTTCAGACAGGGTGGTCTAGTAGGAGAGTTAGAGTGAGCCTCTCCTGGGTGAGCTCGCAACTGCGCTGGGGCTGCCGGGGGTGGGGGTGGGGGTGCCTGGGCCATAGCCCTGGGTAGAGGGCACAGCATTTATTTTACAGGGACCAGATCACCGGGCTGGAGGGCTGGGGTGGGCACATGGGGTCTGGGTGCAGCAAGGAGGTGGGGTGGACACGCAGGCTTCTGTTACACTGTTCTCTGTGCCTTTGAAGTGTTCCACAGTAAAAAAAAAACTTCAGAGAACAATTCACGATGACTTTGTTGAACACGCATCTCTGCCTGTGCATCTGGACCCCGTGGGCTCGGGTCCCGGGCTATTACGGGGGCGCTGAGTGAGCACGGGAAGGGCCGGCAACTCTGTGGGACCCTCGCTGCAGGTCCCGCTTTGAGCCACCAACCCGCGCCCCCCTCCCCACCGCCGCCAACCCCACCTGGCTCCGGGAGGGGCGCCTGCTCCTACCTCTCCCGGCATCCTCACTCGCCTTCCAGGACTCGGCCACCGCCCCCGGGAAGACGCACTCACTCTGGAGGTCAGGGGCCCTCCCCGCGGGGGCGCGTCGCCGGGGTGAAGCTGGTCGTCTCCGACGGGCTCGGCGCACTGGCCCCGCACGGCCCGGCCGGGACAGTCGCGAGCTCTCGGCGGGTTTTCTCCTCGGTTTCTCAACCAAAACCCTGGACACAGCTAACGGAGAAACAGCACAGACAGGCTCGGTGGCTGCGGGAGGTCCCACCGCGAGAGAGAAGACTCTCCGGACCCGGTAACCGGGCCCCTTGGGGCCGCAGCGAGGCGCCGGCGGGCGCAGGGAGTCCCGCGGGCGGCCGCACGGAGGCAGCACTTGCCCGCCCGAGAGCCCCGTCCCGGCGTGCCCCGCGCCTCCGCCAAGACCTTGGAGGCGGGACTTCCGGTGTGCGGCTCAGTCTAAGCGCTGCTGCTAGAAGCGAGGGGTTCGGAGGCACGGCACCATCTCTGCGAGCAGGTGAGGAGCGACGGGGGAGGGCCGGGGGGTCGGGGGCCGGGGGGGGGCTGGTGAGGAGCGGCGGGGGGCGGCGGGGTCCGCCGCGGGGCTTATCATCACCGGGGCCCAGCGGGCGCCGTCGGGGTCAGAGCTTGCGGGGCGCCCCGACGCGCGGGGGGCCCTAGG